GCAGAAAAAAGAGATATTTACACGAGGCTAGATTGATGGTCCACATGTCATTCAAAAATTCTGGGCCGAGTTGTCCGCCGAATATCACAAAACAGGAACCCAGCACAATTGCGACATGGCCGTAACGTGGCCTCGGGCGAGGTCCGACGGTCGGAAGACGTTTCCAAATATGTGTTTCTGAGGCATGAAATGGGATGACGTGAGATTGAACAAGATTAGAGAATGAACTTATGACGAAGTACCTGTACTCATTACGTAGAGCTCGTCATCTTGATGTTTGGCTAGTGTGCTTGAGTTTGTCTTCGTATCACCTCCCCACACAATTAACAAGTCATTCATCAGCGCCATTGCGTGCCCAACTCTGCCCGAAGGAACATCTCCCCTTGTCTGTACCAAGACTACAGTTGGAGAAGTATCAAAGCTTGATATAACATAGAGCTCGTTGGACAGAAAATTAGAAAAGATGAGGCCACCAAAGAGATAGACGTCGCCACTGGCAGTAGGTCGAGACAAGACCGCAGGATTGTATCGCGGAAAAGGTGAAATGGTCTTTGCGACGCCTGGGGGTGGCTGTAGAAGCTGCGTGGACCATGGATATAAATTAGGAGGCGGTAATGAAGGTGGAGGGGATGATGAAAGTTCAGATGATAGTTGACGGAACGATAGCGGTCCGGGCTCTTCCTCATTCACACCCCTGATAACCAGATCGGTTTGCTCCAGAAAACTTCGAGCACGAGCTCGATACTCCCTCTTCAATTTCTTGTTCTTGTTCCAGAAGGTGGGCATCCTGTTCGACGATCAAATTCGACATTGACATGCTGTGGGCAGCCAGAGGAACTGCCATCAACTTGAATGTCAATCGAGTTGTCATGATCAAGACGGCTTGAGATCGCACGAGACCGCACTGTGGGTCTCCCATATCTGTTCTTGTCCGTGTACAGCATGGTAGAATAATAACCAAAGCTGATTACAATGATGAACGAATGCGAAATATGCTAGAAAAGGTCCTCCAGTCTTTCAAGCTCCTTGACCAAGTCTCGTGACTCACGAGATAGAACGGCGGAAATGACCGGTTTTTGGGTTTCTTCTGGCGACTTTCCTGAGCAACGAAAGCTTCCAAAATAGACTTAGCTGAACTATATAAGTTTCTTTGTCTGGTTGTCAAGACGCAAGGATGATGTACCCCTAACATCATTCGTGGTGTGTCCGTGACAGGGTGTGACCTGCGCCAACGCCAAAATTAGCTGAGATGCCAAATTAAATTCTCAAAAGTTTAGGATAATCTGATAAAGAAGCCACCTAGAGTCTCTGCCACCTTATCCCGCATGCACCGCTCGCTGGGTCGCCTGCACTCGCTAGACTCCACTGAAGTTGTGAGAAGATTCAAGAATGGCTTTATAAATGCAGGAATGAATACACCTCAGCATCGTTGCCAGTGCACTGATTATGACTTTTCACTGGGAGGGAGCACCATAAGGTCCGGTGAATGGCACCACGAAAGGTTTGGTTCAAATGCGCTCTCCTTGGTACATTCAATGAGTTTGATAAGCAGCCTGCTCTTGTTGCTCGTTGTTCGTTGCGGCCTCCTGCAATGATGATAGACACCGCGGGGTCGAGGCCTTTGGGAGACTAAAACTGCCACCCAAGTCCACCCGTCGATTCGGTACTACGATGAGGAGGCTCATCCTTTAGAAACGGGCGGACACGGGAGCAACAGGGTCGGAGACATAGTACCGTGACTTTTTAACGAGGTGGTTAGAGAGCCTTGAGGTTTCTATTCTGTCTCTTTTTTGTTATTGGAGTTGGAGTTGATAGGGAGGAAGCCAACGTAGGTCTCACGATTTAAAATGGGACGATCTACGATCATGCAAGATAGAAAGGTTTCTGATTCAAGGCAGGAGTGAACTTCAACTAGAAGTTCTCAAGAGGTTGAGAAATGAGATGAGCTGTCGAACGGAGTCGACATGGTATATATCCACATAAAACAGCGAAAACTTGCCGTCACTGACATGTGACACCATTCGGGAATAAGTCTCCAGGCCTAGGGAGATACGCAGTAAGAAAATCATCTTTGAGCGCAGACTCAGAGTGTTGGCTACATAGAGCCTAGAGCTTCTTGCAGCTATGTTTTACCGGACGCAGGAGTGATGGGTGTCAACAATGACATCAACTCGTGAGAGTGACAGTGGCATGTTAACCAAATACCAAAGTCAGATTCTATCAAACTTGGCGACGACTGGGTCGATATCTTTACTCAAAGATCCATGATGTGTGGAAGGACCTTCTCAGGAGCAAAGTATAAACAGTGCTAGAGCTAGCGTCTGCAGAATCGAACGTTGGCGTTCGAGCATCGAGATAATAACAATGTATCGAAGCAAAAATTACATCTGCAGAGGTCGACGCAGCTGCTTTCGACCTTGAAGCCGGTGGTCCGCACGCAAGAAGTCAGCCCGTAACAAACAATACAATACAATTCGTGAGTTGGGGAAGCACTGCCGGGCTTCGTTCGACAAAGCGTTAAACTCTCGTCGGATCTCAGGTGTTGAACGTTGATCTATAATCTCTCGAAAGAGGGCCCGACTGATTCTACGGATCCATTGCAGCGAATATAGCTATAGCGAAGTAGCCGGCATACCTAAGATTCTCATTGTTCGTGAAGTCGTTCTGAGAGTAGGAAGGGCTCCCAGCATTGACCCCAGAAGCGAGTGACGTCAACGTCGCGTTTTTTTATGATCATGACATTATCTAAAGCCAAGTCCAAGAACAGTGCGCATAAGGCTCAGAAGAACATACCAAACTTCCCTGTTTTCGCAAGCGGACTCAACGGCATTCGTCGCGATATCAGCCTCGAGACCCGTATTGACATTCACCGGATTCACATTGACAGTCTTCAAACATCCGCAAGCCCGGAGAACACACGATACACCCCCCAGGCTGTCCATCTCTTCGGCGATCAGAGCCGATGTCTCGGGTGAAACAAGGATTGTGGTGTACAGGGCGATTCCAATGTAGTTCGGTGGTCTTTCCAGTCAGGTTTGGAAGGGCGAGGAGCTCAGTGACCGCGTGGGAGGCGAACTCGAAGGGCTTTAGCCGTTGGTCATAGCGGGAAGGAATGTTTTGAAAAACTCTATGATGTGGGGCAAGCATGAGATTGCTGGTTTTGGGGTGAGAACCAGTGGAAGGCGAGAACTAGAATTCGGGTCAGCGGTCGGTCTCGTTTTTTGACGTTGGAATCTACATAATTAAGACGCTTTCTTGTTCTCGGTTCGGCTCATGGTTTAATAAGTATTGGAACCTGAAACGTTGGACAAGCTAAGTTCGAAGAAAAAATGCCTCGGATTCCTGCAGTGACCAATCTGGTGGAACTTGGAAGAGAATTTTGCAGCTCACTGTACGCATATACAAGTATTTGACAATCTACATGTAAACATTCAAGGAAATGTTGAAACATTGAAGGGTACGGTATTCATCAAGCGACATTCGAAGAAGAGGGCATGATAGTGGCCAATCGGTTGGAACACAGAAATTTGCATAATTGATCTGATCAAGTTCCCATCCTGATGGGAGTTTTCGACCTATCCATAAGTAATCAATCTTACCTCACCTTGATCTTGCCCTCATCGGAACGGACGACCTATCATGCCAGTGAATTGGACTCTATACAAGCGTCATGATATACGTATGTCACGATTACTTCAAGTTGACATTCGCTCCACTTGCATTTTCTATCTCGAAAGTATCCATCCAATCTGTGGGGACCCGTCGCGACAACCTCTCAGCTATGCATCACTATCAAGAACAGCTCAGGCGGGCGACGATCAAGCATTGGAGCTTTGACTCGGCAAAACGAATACGGCTTGGTTTGACCGCGATTTCCCTTGGTGGTAAAGTCTGCTATAGCTATAGGCCCCAGTGTACTTAGGTGGAAAAGAAAGAATCTTGACACGGAACTGGCATCTAAGTAATTTAAGTTCGCGCTGTTCAAGGTGGAGATCCATCATCCGAGATTCGCAAGAAGTTATTTGCCTACCCAGTTGAACAATGACGAAGCTCGGGCTGTCTCTTCTAATTACTTTGATTATAAACCGTCACCATTGTCGACAATGTAGATGCAACGCCTGTCCATGGTCATACTTATCTTCATCGTACGCTCCTTTCCTTTCTCAAAAACCTACCTTCTTGTTAAGGTTCTGATTTAGAAATCCATCCTTATTTTGGATTTATCAGCGTTACATCCAGTAATTCAACCGCCGAGACGGGCGTTTCCATGTTAAACTACATCCGAATCCTCTTCGACGATCCAAAACATCACCATTGCTGCCAGCATGCCTTCCGGTGCTACCTCAACCCACATCTCACTCCCAGTGCCAATGCCAACACGCACGCCAATGACGACAAATAGCATGACCTGTTCAAGTAAGTTCCTGCTGTAAATGTAACCATCGCAGTTCTGGGAACCAACATCCTCCCTACACAAATCTTCCCCCTACAACCAGAGTCGTCATCGGTTCTTCTGAATCTGCGAACCTTGCCACAAGTTCTATCACTGGTCTCTGCATTCCAAAACCCGGCTGCTGTTTCCTCACTGGTAGATGCAATGACAACTTTGATGAGTAATCTTCCCCCAATTGCTTCAAGTCTCGCCTGAAATGACTATTTCCACCTTCACAGTCACTCCAGCTCCATTTTTCTTGCTGCTCTTGCTTTTTCCGTTCTATTGCTTAGTTCTTCTGGATCTTTCGTTACTGAGTCGGCAGACACACGGGATGATTTGGATTTTTTTCTATACATAGAATATATGCATTTTGAGTGGAGTCTCACTCCCTAGGAATCCTAAATATTCAAAACGGTTGAAAGATTGGCAAACGAGCTTTGACCAACCCATTGCGCGTAGTTATGTACCACGAGAGACGAGACTCGGACGAAATATCAGCAAAAGAACAGCTTTTGAGACAGGGAAACTTAGAACGACGTCCAGAGAGACCCGGATACTTCTTTGATGCATCAAGGGGGAATCGAACCCCCGGCGGGTCGAATCGTTCAGAAGAATCTCAACTGGCAACGACCCAGGTTACCACTACCCCATTGATGCTTGTTTACTGTTTAAATTCCAATATGGATTACCTGAGGCCGTGCCGGTAATCTCAACCTAACCAACCAACCTGATGACCGTCTCGAAGTCTTGGATTGCAACCTGACTTTGCCTTAAGTGGTAACACTTCACAAAGGATATCAGAGCATGAGTGTCAAATTGCAGGTTGTGAGTGCTGAATTGCAGAGCAAGTAAATATAGCTGGAGTTGGGCTGGTATATGTAGTTGAAGACCTAAGTAGAACTGTTGTGGACTGGGTGCTAAGTGATGATGGCTTGAGAACAGAACACAGAATGTTGTTAAAGTTGACAATGATGTTTCCATTGTTGTTATAGTGACCAAAATCATTTCAGATCAAGAGAATTAATGACTTGCAAAATATCAGTCAACTGTACTGCTGCTACCTAAATAAAGAACAAAAAAATCAGTCTTTGCTGATGAGAGTGAAAATAAAGAAAACTGTGGTCATGGCCATTGTTATGGCCATTGTCAGGGACACTACTAGTCAATGTACCAATTCTAAAACTTGAAGAAGGGCTAAGCAGTAGAATAGCAGATTTGAGTGAGACAGTCATTATTGAAAGTTCATCATTCAGTTCATCTATTTTGATCAAGCTGTTGTCTTTAAAATACATAGAAGACTGTGAATTTGATGATCATTGCCATTTTCTAATAGAGAATTGACCTTCCTTGCTTTTTTATAGCTGTATATTTTGTCTTTATGATGCATATACTTGAGGTGCTTATGCAGCTAACTTCTTGTGACTGTTGCAATATACAACCTCCAAGTTTAGAAAACTCAATATTGTTATCCTTTAGAATCTTTCTTTGCTATGTCACTCTTTTTAGAAAAAATCAAAAATCTTGACCACCATACTCTGCTTTCTAATAGCAATCCTGTGTACAAGAATCTTATAGCAAAGTACAATGGACTTTGTAAACAGCTAGATCAACTAAGTCTTTGATATTTTTTATTGCAATTTGACACTCATTCTATGGTGGTGGTCATTGACAAATCCCCAATCTGTTCATTTGAAACACTATTCATGTAAGTTCCATGATTGACAACATCAACACTGTTGATATACTGAGCAAGATTCATTGCATTAAACATTTTCCTGACAAAAGAAGATTGGTTTATCAGGCTCATTCTCAGTGAGTAGCTTTTTCAATCCCTGAAAATGATAATTTAAAATCCACAATTCAGCAGAAGGATCAGAATCCTAACCAGACTTTAGTTGACAATGGAGTGAATTTCAGCAGCAAGGGCTTGAAGAATTAGTTATTCACTCAAATGAATTTGCATATTCTATATGCTACTGTTCACATTTTTATTCTACTAGATGACTGCATACAATACTTGAATCAATGCATATGTACTACTTTCATCATTTTTTAGCATGTCATCCTCCTCTTCAGTCTGATCTAAACCCATCTTTTCAAAAATAAAATACTGATCATCTGGCCTTTCAATCTCACCATTTGTGGTCACTCTAAAATCAGGGATAATAGCAACAAGTGATTCAATCTAATTGACATTGATCACTTTGAGGTATGTGTTTCTTAAGTAACAACAGATATAAACTGTCTTGCTTGATTTCTCCAACAGGATAAGATCTGAAGGAGAAAGGACTGAGATCACAGCAAGAGTATGGATGATTTTGCCAAATCTAAGACAAAAGTAAATTGTACTTCAGCAGAATTTAAAAAATTGCTGTCATGAAACTTGCATCTATGTCAACTATCAGGCTAGTAATTGTAAGACTATTACATACCTTTATAACACATGTTTTCTGTAATGCTTATTGTGATTTTGACTCCATCCAGAGTGATTGAGCAATTTGACCATTTGGAAGATGAAGTCAAGCTCAACACCATACAGCATGTGGCCATGCATCTTGATTAAGCCAGTTATTCTGAGACTACAATTCCATATTTGCAGCTGCCTCTTCTACAGATACATCAACCAAAGTAAGTTGACAAGCATATAATAAAACATAGCCATCAGCACCAGGAATAGGCAAAGCACCAGCTGAAATATGTTTAGCCTTGTCTTCATGCAACAGTACATGAGACATCATGACAATGAAGGAATTGATTTGTGCATATAATACACTCCTTTGAGCAATATTTGCATAGGAATTCTAAGCCTGACAAATTTCATCATCAAAATTTCCTATTGTAGTCTCCATGGTCCATTGTGCATAGTGTAAGGACGACCTTTGGGGGCTGTGGCTCAGTCACACAGCTGGCAGAGGGAAATCCAAAGTATATTGAGTGTTGTACAGATGATTACCAGTCTAACTA